AGTGTCCCAGTGATAACTCAGCATCCAAACTACTATACAGGGATGAGAATGATGGCCAACGAATGTGTTTTAGCATAAAGCTGTAGAAAGAATTAGTATTTAGCTCCCCAGCTTCTTTCAGTTGACTCAACAATCTGCACTTTTCTAGTGCACAATTTTTTAGATATTTACAGCTCCAACTTTTTGTTAGAAATTAATTCCCTGTCTTTCCGAATCGTCCACCAAAATCTCAACTTGGATCAAATTCTAGATAAAAGGGGTGTGTTGACTTATTGACTCCTCTATATAGGCTCTATATAATCCTCCATTTCTACTCCCCCTGATAGCACACGTACATCACAGAGACGTCTATTTGACGTCTGCATTACATCTGCTAGAGGCATTTTTTAGAGAGTTTGCTCATCTGCCATACGTCTATAGGACGTTTCCTATCAGTTGTCAAATAGACGTTTAGAAGATGTCTTTAAGATGTTTATGATTTAGAATGAATGTAAAACTGACATCTTAGAGACGTCTATCAGATGTTTGCACACAGCAGATGCTTTCCAGATCTTTAACAGACATCTCTGCAGCAAACGGTTTATATGTTTTTATTAGTGCTGGTAAGCGATTAAAATATTTGATTTTTATATTGCGATTAATTAATCGAATTAATTGCAAATTAATCGCACATCAAATCTGGCTGAGAAATTACTCCCAAAAGATAATTTAAAGTCATGGTTGTGTAAAGCATCAAACAGACATTACAAAAAGTAGCTTCAGCAAGAAATATTTTCTTTGATAAAATGTATTACATATACTCTTTTGGACCATGTGGGTGAGTAAATGATGACACAATTGTCACTTTTGGGTGGGTGAAGTTTGTAACAGTCACAAACCTGTTAGCATGTTTTTTATATTGTAATTGTACTACCCACCATGAGGGGGCAACATGGAGCTATACTCTTAGATATAAAATGGGTGTAGGGAGTAGAAGAAGTCAGATTCGTAATGGAGGCAAGTAAGCATGGCTTATGGCTCCAAATAATCACTTGTCCTGATTGAGAAACCTTGAGTTTTATGCTCAATCTGAAGTAAGCATTGTTTCTTGTTTTGTATTGATTGAATGCTTTTGGGTAATTTGTGTAGTTATTTTTCTAATGTGATTTATTTCATTTTATTTAGAAGGACTCCACATTCTGTGGGATTTATCCTTATATTCATATGCCTGTTTTTGACCTGCATCATAAGGATGACTTTAAAGTGGGTTTTGAGGCTGTGAATTAGGTTGGCAACTGTTGTGGATTCTTGAACCGGGTTATGCCACAAATGTGACTTTAAAGACTTGTTCAGTGTTTGGAGTGATATCTACACCATGGATTACGTGTTGCACTGGGGACATTTTTGGATGGTATTCTTGGACATTGGATTTCATGGACATTGATTTCTACACTGTGTGGAATGAACATTCAGCAACTGTATCATTTTCGTCATCACATCAGAACAGATAAGATTTTGACTTGTATGCTGTCCTGAGTTTATGTTGTCGAAATATGCATGTTTGTTGTATTAAGGGGTTTGGAAAGATAAAAAGAGGTAAATGAATGAGAAGCATTTATTTATTGTTTTATATATAGATTTGACAGGTTTTGGTCATTGCCTGCTATATATACAGTAGAGCTAGTTTGCCTTATTGATGTCTTCTGTTGTGCCTTAGATCAAATCTAGTTAGGGGTTCCCTCCCTATAAAACAGATTTATAACCAACACTTTTTTTAGAGTAAGGTAATGGTTATACGTTTACCTTTAATAATTTATTTTATTAATTTTATTATTATTACTAAGGAAATATGAAATAATTTCTTTAATGAAATGATACTCTAAATAATAAACTAAAACTGCCAGTAGGTGGTGATGTCTTAATGATTAAGTAATCGAGTCATTCATTCATTTGATTTGTTCAAAAGGCTGATTCATTCAGGAGTGAAGTAAATGGTTCTTTATGAATGGTCCATTGAATCATTCGGCTTGTTCGACTTGAAGCGTATCATCAGCATCAGATCGATCGGTGTGTGACATCAAAGTATCGCGAGTATGCTTCTAAATCGCTCTCGCGGGACTTTGATGTCACACACCCATCGGTCTTTGCAGCGCCGCTTCAAATCCAACGCGCCTAATGATTCACCCAATTCATTCAAAACGTGCATTAAGAAATGAAATGGCGCTGTGTGTTGCTCGGAGACGAACAGTTCTGCTTTGTCTTTATATTTTAGTTGACAAAATTGAGCAAAACAGACAACATTGTGTCTAAAATAACACAATATTAACTTCTTACTGAACTGTTGTATAAGATCAGTATCACATTTGCACTCGTGCAATATTGCACTTAGCCTATTGCTCGTGTGATATTGCTTAACTACTACATGATGTAAATATGAGACAAAAACTCAAACGGGGGCATTTTTGCCCCATATCTTGAATTTTAGGGACATTCTAACTACATTCTCTAGGCTCCATCACGCAATGAGTTGTTACTCTGCCTCATATTTGTCATCAATCAACTGTATGAAATGTCAGGTGACCCACATAGGTCTGGGGCGGGGCAAGTGCGTTAATAATTTTAACGCGTTATTTTTCACCGTAATTAACTAATCTAATAAACGCGTTAAATTACCAGCCCTAGTTTTTATATACAGGGCTATAAAGCCATTTAGTGGTTACACCCTGATATTGCAGATGATAAATGGTGCATAATTTAGAGGTTAATATTTAGTAAAATTCCCCTAAAATAATAAAAATATTAAAATGTTATTAAACTAAAATCACAAAAGCACAAATATATATTCGTTCTCATATAACTCTGTGTTCATTAACATGTTCATCTATAAGTGTTTGGGCTGTTTTGCCCAGAGACATCAAGCCCCACCCCAGGACCCGCGGCTATTCCTAGACATACCACAAATGTTTTAGCTTTTTCTTATATTATTAGTCTGCGGCGCATTCTCCTGCTATGAAAAGAAAATTACATAAATGCTTGACATACTCATTATATGTATTACAGTATAATTATGTATTGGATATGTTTATTAATGTATGTATTTTAAATTTAGCATGTTTAATCCAAATTTATTTATCTATTTATTTTATTCTGTCTCTTTTTTAAGGTTGGGGTGGAGCGGGAACAATATTTTTTCACTGCTCTCCTGTATTTTTATCCTGTTACTACTGTGACTACTATATGAGCAGGATAATCATATAGCAATCATTAAAAACAAGAACTCATCTTATTAAGAGCTTAAACTCATATCCGATCAAATTGAATCTGAAACATCCTTATTTAAATGTTTTGTATATGGATACTGACTCTTTCTGAATCTGACTGGGGTTGATGGTTATCAGATCCGTCTTCAGCCCAACATCACTGTCATTAATATAAGCCAAATTAAACCTGAAACAGAGAGAGAAAACTTCATGTTAACAGGAAGGACGCATGATTACAGACGGATGTGTTGAGGGAGGCAAGGCATGATGGGATGTGTTTAAACACACACACAGACACACAGATAAACACACACACACACACACACAGATAAATACACACAGATAAACACACACAGATAAACACACACAGACACACAGATAAACACACACACACACACACACAGATAAATACACACAGATAAACACACAGACACACAGATAAATACACACACACACACACACACACACTATCACATTTGATAAGGTGACTATTTTTCCCTAACATATCCTGGCCGGGATTTCTAAATTGCCTAAATTGGCTTTGTGTTCCAATAGAGTGCTACAGACGTCACGTCAAACCCAGAAGACTAATTCACCAAGGGTTCCCTCGAGATTTTGAGTAAAATGATAAACAAAACTGCACTGCACACACTCACACACAGTTTTGTTGGTAATGCATTACAAGTAACGCGAGTTACGTAATCAGATTACTTTTTTCAAGTAACTTGTAAAGAAACGCATTACATTTAAACTCACGATTAAATATCTGAGTTACTTTTTCAAATAAGTAACTCCAGTTACTTTGTTTCCCATTGACTGACAGCTCTCCTGTGCTCATGTTGACAGAATCAGGAGTAAATGCAGAGGCGTTGTGTGCGCTGTGTGAACATGATGTTACTGTAGTTCAAATGTCTACATGCTTTTACTCATCTCACTCGCACAAAAACAGATTCATCAGCATTCCTCAAAATGAATAAAAACAGTGAAATGCAAACTCAGATGATCAAATAAGGACAAATATCCTTTATGTATTTAATCCCATTTTATTTGCTGCTGATCTTCGATGATCCAATTCAACCGTACTAATTTAACTTCAGTTAAACGTTTAGTTAAACATTTCCTTATTTATTTCACTTTTGGTGTGAAAGGGCTTTTACATTAGCCAAAAATACAACTTTTTTATGTTAAAAACAAACAAGCAAGCCTAGCCCAGATGAGAAAAAGTAGCGCAAAAGTAACGTGTAACATTGCTTTCCATAAAAAGTAACTAAGTAACACAATTAGTTACTTTTAAGAGAGTAACACAATATTGTAATGCATTACTTTTAAAAGTAACCTTCCCCAACACTGTTCGCGCCGCAAACGTAGTTACTTATTACAAATATACAATTCTAAAAATAAACATAACTGCTTCAAAATGTGTGTTTTCAGTATGTGTGTGTGAGTATGACCGTTCTCTCTAGATCCCGCCTTCTCGCACGCCACGATCCGTCAATAATATACAACACTTGCATGCTGTTGATCAAACGTTTCAGTCGGTACTTTGAAAACAATAGGAAACAAAGCCAAAACCTGAACATTTTAGGCACTTTAGAAATCCCGTGAAAAGAGTATCGTCAACCTATGCACTCTATAGGGCTGGTTTGACAGGTTGTGTCACATTCAGAGGACAAATCTGCTCAAAAATCAATGTACACAAGCACGCAAAAACAGAGATAGCCTAAAGAGTTAATGAGTTAGAAATGCGTATTCATAACACACCTCGGGCAGCATGCTGTGAAGGGTTGCATTCATTGTAAATGTGCTTGTAAAGCTTGTCTCATATGGGATGGTCTGATTGACAGCTGTGTTTCGTTTGGTGAGGAATAATGATCCTGTGGCGTTACAGAAAAACTGAAGACTCAATCTGCCATAAACACACACACACACGCACGCACACACAACATCCTAATAAGTGCAGCATAAATGTCATCGTATTTCATGTTTAGTAGTCCGCGCTCCACCACTGTGAAGGTGTAAACTGTTTTTCTTTTCACTGAGTGTGTGTTTATGAGTTTTCTGTGAGGTGTAAATGAAAGACTGAGCGGAGGAGAATCCACCGCTAATTAGACGTTGTTGCAGCCGAGAGAGAGAAAAACTATCATCACGCGTTCCAGTTTTAGTTTTAAATAATATTGACTAATGGGGCCTTACTTTTAAACAGCAACATTTTTTCAGTAAGAATTGGATTGTTGAATGCATTTTAAACATGATTTGGCTGCATTTGTTTTGTATATTTGGCCTGTATATTTAGATGCAGGGGCGCAACAGTTTTAACCGACTGGGGCTCGTAATTAGATGTCAACAAAGTCATACCTACTATAGGCAAAGAAACAGTTTATGAGGGCTCATTTTACAAGAGCAATCACTCTTGTCGCTTTACCTCTGTTAAAATGACTGATCTCAGCATTCAAAGATAAAAAAAATCCCCTCTCATTAAACACAGTGATCACAGTGAACAACAATGACATGTTTTTGGAAAATATTCAAAGTCAATATGAAATTGCAATAACTACACTCTCAGAAATAAAGGTTTTAAAAGTGCGTTTGATGCCGTAGAAGAACTATATTTAGGTTCCCTAAAGAACCATTCAGCGAACATTCTTAAATAAAATAACCACTTCTTAGTGTCAAGAACATTTTCCATTTTCACTATATATAAAAAATCCTTCTGTGCGATGTAAAGATTCCATTGAAGTTCAAGGTTCTTCAAGGAACCACCAACAACCTTTATCTTTAAGAGTGATAAAGGGAATATAGTGTACACTCTTAAAAATAAAGCTGCTTAAAACCTTCTTCACAGCGATGCCATAGAAGAACCATTTTTAACCATTCAGTCAAAGGTTCTTTAAAGAACCATCTCTTTCTTAGCTTTTTATAATCTGAAGAACCTTCTTTCGCCTCAAAGAACCTTTAGTGAAACAGAAAGGTTCTTCAGATGTTAAAGGTTCCTAATGGAACCATTTAGACACAAAAACAGTTCTAATATGGCATCACCGTGAAGCACCTTTAGTTTTAAGAGTGTAGGATCAGGATTATGTCAGAAGGGTTTCATGAATCTAACAAGTTGCGCCGACACAAAATCAGACATAAAATAGTGACTCGGCATCATTTGAGAATCTCTGAATATTTCTGTCTACGATATCAAACTCACACTTAAAATATCAAATGAAGACACACGAGTCGATATCTTAAGTTCAAGGTTTGACATGACAGTGTAGCTCAACAACTTCACTTCTACCCCACAACTGCACTGAGATTATAAAGGAATGTGAGGCATCAAGTTGTTCCGGTGCTTCAGCTTTCATCAAGTTGTCCAAGTTTGGACAAAAGCATCTGCCAAAGGCAAAAAAGAGGCACAAACCTGTTCACCTCTCGCTCGGTTGTGTTTGATCTGTACGGGCAGCTCATGAAATCTGATAGCCCCCGCGTGAAGCTCTGCAGATTTACACTGAGAAGGAAACAAGGACATTGAATTATGTTATCAGTGCTCTGAAACGGAAACGTCGCTGCTTCATCTTTGATTCTCACGCACCTTTTGGCCGGTTTGATAATGGAAAACTTGCGTCTGAGTTTAGCGCAGTGCATCTGCCGAAGAGCGTCCGTCATCCCATCTCTGAAAGAAAGAACAACGTTTTCAAAGCTACTGTATCATATTTCCATTTGATTGAATTTCTAAGGCACTAAATGATCGACATAATCTGCTGTCACGCTCAATCTATACTGCATGCCTTCTGTTTAGAGTCGTTAATCCAGTCAGAGCTCTTTTAGTGTAACTGTAGCTGGAGCCTCAGTGTCTTTCTGCTGTCAAAAAGACTTTGTAAAGAAATATCCTTCAGCAAGAGGTTTAAACAGTTTTCACTGCAGTAATCTGAAGGATTACAGAAATGAAGCAAAGTTCAAAGTCAACACAAACGGAGTACAAGCTTTACGATGTGCTGCTGAACAATCTCCGACACTCCTGTCCTGACCAAATCAAACTACATTACACCTAAATCTAAAACTTTTCTGTCCTGCTTAAAATCACAATGACATTTCTACCTAAAAACAACAATATTAAAATAAGACCCCACCAAAAAAACATTAGTATTGTTAATAGTAATGTAGGCTATTCGACAATTAAGAGAGCTATCAGCTTACTTAATAAGACTTAGAAACTACGACATAGGTATGAATCTTAGACTTTATAACAGCAACACAGAGTCTCATTTAAATTCGCAATTATTACAAAGAACTATTTACATATTAAAATGTTCACCTGGACGAGTGTGTGTTGGGTGTGTAATAAAACATCACACACACACCCTGAAAGACGATCAGGACCATCAGCAGCCTAAAAGTCCACCGGAGAAACGCCAACGCCATCAGAGAGACACATGAAAGAGACTGCGTGTGTGTGAGATAAATTGAGGGGTTAAAGATAACACACACACACACACACACACACCTCACAAAACCTGCTGACTTACTCTATAAACCAGTTCATTTGTCAAAGACCAAATAATTTGTGTTGTGCAATATTGTCAGTGAAAATGCTATTTTTCCACTATTGTCACCAGAATGCTCCTTCAAAGAGTCGTATCTGGCTTTTAAATGTTGCTACTTTTTTCGGAATGTTCATCGAGCTTTGAACATGTGTCACAGGCCCCTATGGAGCTTATAATATGACAAAACTAATTGAAATATTTTTATGGACATGTATTTTCAAACCGCAAATTTTTTTGTTCTGAAATCTTTGACTGCAAATATCCAGTTTTTAAAATGCAGCTTCGAGTTTTCAAGATAATGAAACCTGAACCATGAACTTACAATCCTATATATATATATATATATATTATGGATTACCTCTGACCTACTTTCTCTACGATCAGAATTTCTGCGTATTGAATTTTAGAATCTTGAATTTGATGTTCCGAATTTCCTCTTCAGCTTGAAAACTCGAAGCTGCATTTTTAAAAACTGGATATTTGCAGTCTAAGATTTCAGAACAAATAATTCGCTGTTTGAAAATACATGTCTATAAAACTCTGCCATAAATATATTCAGTCGTGTTAAACTTCAAATGTTTAATATTCAAGTAAAAAAAAAAATCTAATTCAGAACTATGTTAAATGCCACATAATATTCAGTTTTGTGAAATGACGCTTGTCAATAATTCAAATTTACACAATACAAATTAAATTTGTTTTGTCATATTATAAGCTCCATAGGCCCCAGGCATGGTAGCATATTAAAGGGATAGTTCACCCAAAAATGAAAATTCTGTCATCATTGACTTCCATAGTAGGAAAAAAAATGCTATGGAAGTCAATGGCAGCCACCAACTGTTTGATTACCAGCAATCTTCAAAATATCTTCTTTTGTGTTCAACATAAGAAAGCAACTCATACAGGTTTGGAACGACATGAGGGCGAGTAAATGATGACAGAATTTTCATTTTTGGGTGAACTATCCCTTTAACAATACCTCAGGCGCAGCTCAGTTATTAACTTTTACATCAGCATAATAATGAGTTCTCTTTCAATGTTTTCACCATTAGCCCATTTAGTTGTAATCACAAATCACGTTTAATGTAATCAAAAATGCAGTTTTGTACAATTCCTTTTGTGTTATTTCACAACAATAAAGTCTTCAAATAATTTGTTTATTAAGTAGGGGATAGCGGGGCACAAAATATCACTTTTTGACTTTCTCAAATTGTGTAAATCCACATGGGGTTCAGAGTATAATTTTTTTTTATCCACAGTAATTTCACACTTGTCTAGTACAAATATGTCGCTTTGTTTCATAATTACAGTGTATACGTTTATCTTTATTTACCCTCAGAAATTGGAAGTGAAATGTGACAACATGCCCCGTAGGTGGGGTACATTGTAACAGCTTAAGACAAAATAAATAAATAAGACAGCTGATCGCATGAAAAACAATATACAAGACAAACTAAAATACTTTGTCAATAAAATAAAATAATTATTTATTTCAAATAAAATAATGGCGTTTTTTAAGAATTCAAAAGAATCTTCATTTTGACAATGAACACATTGTAACCATGCTTGGGACGGCCCACATAAACGAGTTACAATGCAACTGGAATTTAAACCCGATCTTCTGATAGTTAGCCAAGCATTAAAAAATAATCTAAACTGATAAATAACAGATTGGAGATTAAAATAATAGCAGATTTGTCTCATTTTAAATGAGTCATGAAAACTGAGATGAAAAATGTACTTAAGCCAGAAATATAATTTTACTATGGTAAAATAAATGTTCAGCGATATCTTCAAACCGCATTTTTTTTTCTCTATATAATGTTGATATGGTAACTAGTAAATGCTGTAAATTTGGTTATGCTAGCATGTGTGGAAATATTCAAACCACGTGTGTTGTTACAACTAACCCCGCGCGCCCATATCACTCTTATACATTAACACATCTAATCATTATAGCCTCTGTATACTTATCAGGATGCCACAAAATGCACTTTAGAGTTCCTTCAGTCATCCATCTTTTCCATTTTCTCTGTGAACACTTCTTTTATTATATAACCATTTACACTTTGAACTGTTAAACTCATGTGTCATCCTCATGCATATGTTATCTTGTATACTATACTATTGTATACTATATGTTATACTATTTAAACTGAGCTGGATGATGACATCACTGCCTTTAACTGAACATTGAGTGTTTACTATTGTCATTTTGCATTATTGACACACTATTTTCCTATTTAATACTGTAAAGATGCTTTGACACATTCTGTATTTTTAAAAGCGCTGTATAAATAAAGGTGACTTGACTTGTAACATTTAAACTGTAACAGTTACACTTGATACAAATTATCAAAGTCACACGCATAAAAACATATAGGCTACATTACTCTAAACAAATATACATTTACAATTTCTGAGTCTTTTTTTTTTTTTTTAAGAAATTATCACATACTGAAATAAATTGATTATTATTTACACGGAAATCGATTACCACAACACAATAATACAGGAAATGTGTCCTCGGTGTGTTTTTACATTCATGATGTCTCACAATTTCACTTTTTATGAAAACATACCTGAAGTATCAGGAGAAAAATCCAGGACAAGTAAGCTTCTGTGGCTTTCCTCAGGCGCAGCGCAGTAGCATCTAATGTAAACAACGCGCATCACCATACCAACTCACAACGCCTACTTAATTTCTCCAGTGGTTACAGCATTACAACTGAGAATACACGGTGGTGCATCACACACTCCCCAACAAAGACACGACTTCTCCTGCCAGCATATTCTTTCAGCATAACACCTCTTTTATTTTCACTCTTCTAGTACTCGATTGTCATAGGAGGTACCTAATATGGAAATGTGGCTTGTGGCATGAGGATAGAGTAAGGTGTACTAATGCAAGATAGGTAGAATGCGGTGTGGTGCAATTTGGTGAGATGACGTCTTTGCACACGTTGAAAAGACATCCACTGAGGAGCCAGAATGAAAGTTTTTACGACGTCTTTTTTTGACGTGCTCTGCGCGTCCGATATAGACGTTAATGCAACCTCTGTACAAAGTTAAAAACTAGTTCAGATGTGGTCAGAGGACATCATTTCAACACCATTTAAGGTCTCATTTAGACATAATTTATACTGCTTCTGGACCAAATAAACACTCTCAGGATGCATTAAATTTAAACTCACATTTATTTCAATGTAATTTCCATTTATTAAAGGGGTCATACAATGCTACAGGCACTTTTACAGTGTGTGTACACAACCACCCTATAATGATAAAAATCCACCCAGTGGTTTTTTGTTTATCTACTAAAATCTTTACCCCTTTCTCAAATCGAGCCGATCTCAGATGCCTGTCTGTGTGACGTCACACAGAAAGGCCCCTCCCACGATAGTTTGATTGACAGTAGCGTTTCAGCACAGACTGGACTGGTGTCTTACCTTAGCTCCGCCCTGAGTGAGCTGTCATCAGTCCGCCATTGTTTCACCGCCGGAGCAGATGTAGACAAGAATGACTCCTAAGCGATCGAGGTGTTCTGTTGTTGGATGTAATAATGAACATAGCAGTCGTCATTTACTCCCGACATCTGAGCCGCTGAAGACGCAGTGGATTACGTTTGTTTTTGAAGAAAATGCACCCCCGATCTACATAAATGC